GCGCAATGTTCATGCCCCCTTTTTCTCCCCACCCCCTTTAACCCCCTCTCTCTCTCATTGTGTTACCATTTTCTTTTTTCTCTTTCTCTTTTTTGCTGCTCCTTCCCATCAGCCACCCGCCACGTGCTCCCTGTGTGGGGTTGTGGGACGTGGTGACTATTAGAGGGGCTCTATCATACCTCATAAAAAAAAATTGTGAACACAAACCTCATTCTTTAAAAAATTGTAATAAATAACATAAAAATATTCAACGATAATATATACTAAACTTCTTATATTTTTTTTATTATTTCTTGGTATTAAGTAAATTTTTAAAAGATTTTTTCACACAATTTATCTTACCTTTTATATATATTTATGTTAGATATCTTAGCAGCAGCAGCTGTTGCTCGTGCTCTTGCTGGACTACCTCCTCATCAGAGGTATAGTCTTCCATCAAGCTCTGAAGAGTTGAGTTCGATATATGGAAGCAAGCCCCATGGTCAAGTAGTGGAGGAGCTTGAGGAAGAATTTTACGAAGAGGTTTTCCTTGCTCATGATTGTCAATTTGGTTTCAGCAAGTGGCATGCTAATGTCCTATACTGTCTTTTGATTTATTGATTTTTAGTTGATTAGATAGGTAATTGATTCATATGACCAAGTTCTTTTTAGTTATTGCAAAGAGTGCTAATGTTTTCTTTACCTAAAGGTGCCAGCTAGCTTACCTGGTAATGTTAATATCTCTTTGTAGTTGTACCAGGGACCTGGGATCCGATCCTGTTTTCATCTGGGTTGGGTGGGGTTATGGGTAGGCTCCTCTGGCAATACACACCAAAAAAAAGCATACTTGCTGTTTTTACCTGTGTTAGTTCGCAATATGTTTAGCATTCTTCTTGTCAGCCACCTGTTTCAAAACTTCAAGAAATAAACCTCTTCTGTTCATAAGACCTTTAAATCCACAACATGGAATTATTATCATCAGACCTTTGTGCAGCTTGGTGCTTTACACTTCTCCTTTGGCTTGTGATGCACACTGCACACGACAATGTTAATTGTATAAAATGGAGTTATGGGTGCATGCTTGTGTCATAGCAGCATGCGGCCCATGTAGTTTGTACCAGCTCTTCTTTTAGTGAAGACTGAAGATCAACTACTACGAAAGATTCTGTTATGAGCATTTAATCCTATGCTGCCTGGGCCGTTGTTGCTACAAATTTTGGAGAAAGGAAAGCGATCTTCCAAAAGTATTGACTTACCCTTGATGTAGCATAAATTTTTGGTTTTATTTTGTTTATTTATTTAGACGATTGGAAGAGTTTTTATTTTCCATTATTGCGTAGTTGGATGGGGATCCACATCAACTTAAAGTGGTCACATTCTTGTCAGTAGTCACATCAACACTAAGTATCATGACGAGATGAGTATGATGTCTTGACGCATGAGCAAGGGGATGCCTAGGTTGGGCCTTAGAGTAGAGAATACCCAAGTCTGAGGCATGAGAAGGCTTCCTTTTAGCTGATTTAAAGTGTGTGATGTCTGTTCTCTCCCTCCCTCACAGCTTATTCTTCTTCCTTTTTTTTACTAGTGTCAATGGGAATTGAACCTTGGCGTCACTACACAATAGCTCTCATATTACCCTTCAACTTTGATTTGAAAGCAGTGGGCTATTTATTATTATTATTTTTTATTAGTTTTAGACCAAGACACACTTCTGATGCATGGGGGACACACATGTCCATTGCTTACACACACACACACACACACGAAACACAATATAAGTAACTTAACCAATACAATGGTAAAAAGAAAAAAGAAAGTAACAATTTATACCTATTAATCCTCTTCCTTTAAACTTTAGAATATAGTGTTGTGTTACAATTTTTATTATCTTTGAATAAAATATTAATATATATGACATATAATAAATATATAAAATCATATATTTAGTGCATGTCCCTCGTGTCTTGCATATAGCCCTTGATAGAGTGGATAATTAAATAATGGTGGATAATTAAATAATGGTTGAATGACACACACACACACGCAGACACTTTTTCATTGAACGACATTCTCACTGAGATACTATTTAAATTTGGCAGGACCTGGAACCTTCCAATATGCAAAGTAGTAGGTATTACTTTTATGTTTCTGCATACATTGTTTGGTTTTAGCATAAACCATGCTGGTTCTGATTTAGTTTTTAAATATCTTCCAGTTCCAGACTTACCTACAGTGATCTATGCCATCAAATACCTGAATCCAAGTTTAGGCAATGTTTATTGACAACACTAGCTGCCCTTTTTAAGTTGATGAGTTCATATCAAGCAGTCATGAGCTTTCAACTAGCGGATAAGGTAAAAACTATCGTCATCACTGTATTATGGGTCATTTGGTGTTAATTACTCTGTTTATATTGTAGATTGTGATTATATATATATATATATATATATACATACATTTCTACTTTGTCTACAAATTTTAAAATTCTCTTACTAAATCATTTGTTATCATTGGTACATATCAGTTCACTGTCTGTGTTGATTCAACTGATATTAAACATTTTCTAGCTATTGCTACTTGTGAAATTTGGTGTTGTAATTGATCTGTATCATATCAGTCATGCTAGGAACACAGAGTTTTGTGTCCCATTCTGTGTTTGGTTTCTATTGGCACCTGTTTTTTTTTTGTGTGTATATTTCTCTTTTTTCCTGTAATGTAGACTCTGAACAGACTGGACTTTTGGTATCAGGTAATGACAAATCAGGAGGCAGTGGAGTGCATTAGGAACATAAAGGATGCTAAAGCGGCTGCTAAGCACCTTACTTGTTGATAGCAAATATTAGTAGTTTTATTTGTTGATAGCTGCGCATGGATAACAAATAGTTATGTTTCAAATTGTTATGCTAGATGGATGTGACTTGTGAATGAAAACTTAGAATAGTTGTATTGTGTCGAATGTTAATGAATTATGTATTGTGATTGAATGTTAATGATTTAGTTAATTTGAATGATGCTGTAAAATTATAGGTTTATTATGATTTGAATGAATAATTAGGAATTACAGGTGTATTGTTTTCCTGTTTTGGCGACCAATTTATTAGTCGCGACAAATAAATAATTTTTTTTCGCAAAAAATGACAATTGCCGACCAAAAGTTTTGGTCGCAAAAAATACATCTATTGCCGACCAAAACAGCTCTTGGTCGTGGAAACTCACTTTTGCCGACCAAAAGTTTTGGTCGCGAAAAGTAACAAATGGCGACCAAAACCTTTTTTGGTCGCGGAATGTCACAATTGGCGACCAAAATTTTTGGTCGTTGAATGTGATAATTGGCGACCAAACTTTTTGGACGGGAAAATATCACTTTTCGCGACCAAAATGTTTTGGCGACAAAATAAATTAGTCGCGGTAATTAAATATTTAGCGACCAAAAATTTAGTCGGCAAATCCAACTTTTGCCGACCAATCAAAATTTTGGTCGCGAATTACTTTTGCCGACCCTCAATTGGCGACCAAAGTAGCGACCAAAAAAATTGGTCGCGGATAACTTTTGCCGACCAAAAATAGACTTTTAGCGACCAATTTTTTTGTTGCTAAAAGTGTTAATTCTTGTAGTGTATGTGTATCACATGCATATCGCCACTCTTTTGTATCACTTTGCGTGCAAATGTGAAAAAGTTAGGTTCCTTTTTTGAGATTTGATTTTTTTTTTTTTTTTGAAAAGACATTAAAATAAAAATAAAAATGAAAAGAATGAGTTAATTTTTTTGTATTGTCTTTTTTAGTTTTTTAACCAATTATCAAATGGGAAAGGGTTTTTTTTTTTTTTTTTTTTTTTTTTTTTTCATAAACCTTTTCTATCAAAATAATGAAATCACAAGTGTTTTGATTGGCATAAAGAATGACCAGTGTGGTTATTTCAATGATCTTATAGATTATTAATGTTTAGAACTTATATTTATGTAGTTAAAAAAAAAAAGATACGAACATAAATTGAAGTGAAAGAAGTTATGAGTTGTTTGGTTGGGTTTTTTTATCCTATTTTTATTTTTGTGTGAAAACAACTCAATGTTCTTTTTTTTTTTTTTTTTTTTTTTTTTTTTTTTTCTTTTTTGGCAAAAGTATAATTTAGTATTTTGTCAGAATATTGGCCTATGAGTATTGTTATGTGTTATAGTATTTTTTTCAAATTTTGGGATTGAACAATGTTATAATTTAGCATGAAAGATAACATCATTGAAAATGAATTTCAAAGTATTATTGTCAAATTTTAGTTTTGAGTCGACAACTTTATAAGTTTGTGTTAAAATTGTCAAAAGTATTAAAATCTCATTATATTTATATGGAATGGGTTTCTCTTCAGTTCACTTTGTGCACTAGATCGTACTGTTGGGCTCGTGGGATCTATCACAGGTTCTGTTTCGATAATCCAAATCGTTTAATGTGTAAAGTTCGTTGAGTACTTCGTCCCAACAAAAATTATGTTGATCGGATATCGATAGCTCTTTGATCAGAACGCATAAAACACATTTTTGTCAATAGTAAATATGATTTTAAAAATAAATTGTTAACAAAAATGTGTTCTGATCAAGATGCTATCGATATCCGATTAACGTGATTTTTGGCAGGGATGAAACACTCAACGAACTCTACACATTAAATAGTTTGAATTATCGAAACAGGACCTGTGATGAGCCACACGGACCTAACAATGCGGTCTATCTCACAAAGTGGACTGGTAAAAAACCCATCCCTATTTATATTTAGATCAGTTGCATTGATTTCTCTTTAAATTTGAAAAAAATACACTAATTCCAACCAATTTAACTTTGAATTTTCTTGAAATTTTAATTAAAATGACAACTTTGGCCTATTTTTGATTAAAACTAGTTAGCAATGGAAAAATATTGTATATATTTATTATTTCATATCATCTGTATTAATTTTAGTTTATTTTACTTTGTAGAAAAAGAATCAATATGATAACTAAAATTTTGTGCAAGGATATAACAAAGAGGCATTAATGTGAATTAAAAAGCTACTTCACCAAGGATATGACAACGTGTGGAGGACAAGGGCGTAGTGAGAATATACCGACAGTTGATGGCAAGTTGCAACAAAGGCATTGAGAGCATCCCCACCAAAATCTTTAAATCTCTTCCTTACCTGTTTTAAGGGATAAATGGTTGGAGAATTTTTTTTAAAGTCCCTAATATTAAGATTTTATAGCATAAAGGACACTCAATATTTTCATAATGCCTAAGGTCCCTCAAGTTGATCAAGAGAAAATTGGTCCAGAGAAAATTAGTTCAGAGAAATTTTATCCAGAGAAATTCTGGACTTCCAAAGAATTTCTCTGGGTTCAACCCAGAGAAAATTCAAATTTCTCTGGGTTTAGTTTGACCAATCATACGTAAACTTATCTCCAGAGAAATTCTGAATTTATCTCCAGAGAAATTCAAAATTTCTCTGGAATTGATATTGATGTTTTATGGAAGGGTGGAAAAATACAAAGGCTGAATGCTTGTATGATGATGCTGATGCTGGACGGCTTGGTTCTTCTCTGATCTGTCACTTATATACTCTATCACCTCCAGCCGCTGATCCATCCAAACAGCATTCTAGGTGATGAAGCCTCAAGTAACCATCTGCATCGGCTTGAGCAACCAAATGACCAACAATGGCTCCAACCGGGCTCCATTTTATATCAAAAATTCCCGCTGTCTCCACATGGTGAAACAGTTCAAGCCGTTCACCCAGAAGGTTCTTGGGTCGGCGACGAGAGTAGTGCCTGATTGCCAGTAAACATATTGCAATGCTATTCCAGACTGCGGAAGCGAAACGAGGTTCCCATCCGGTAGTAGCCCAAAACGATAATTTCCCGTCGAGTGGTCCATGGCTTCCCTTGGGAGGAGGACGTTGGCGAAGGGGTGGGATTTGGGGGTAGGGCAGATGAAGATCTTGAAGATTTTGTTCATTTGGTTGTAGGGGAGAGAGAGAGAGAGAGAGAGAGAAAGAGAGAGGAATCGTGGGCAAAGAGTCAAATTTCTCTGATATATGTTTAGAGACCTTAGACATCAAAAAATAATTTTGTGGATCTCTTCCATTACAAAAAGTGACGGAGGGACCCTAAACTAATTTTCCCTAAATGGTTCCTTATACACCTGCATCAGCTCTTCTAAATAATTTTCTAAATTAGTTTTTACTACAGTGATTTCTTATTTGTAAGGAATCACTTTAGCTCCCTTATTTTTTTATTTTTTATTTTTTTTTAATTTTTGTTGCTTTATTTTGTTTAGGAATTGCATTACACATTTATGATTTTTATTTTTTAAAAAATTTATAATTAAAAATTATATTTTAATGAAATAAAAAAAAAATAAAAAATTTATTAATAGAACAGAGAAAGAATAGGGTGTACATTAGAAAAAGTAAATGAGAAAGTAATTTCTAAAATAAAGAATAAATTTTTTAATAATACTTTAGGGTAGGTGGGAATACTCTGAAGTCATGTTTGATTCACAAAATTAATAGTGAAGTATTAATAATCCTATTAAATTAGTGTGGTATTCACTATCCAATTAGATTAATATCCATTGGATTAATAATCTCATCACTACCCTATTACTAATAATCTTACAAATTTGTTAGATAAATTATCCATTGGATTAATAATCCTAAACCAAAATGTTAAAACAAACATTGAATAATTAGACTCACGAATTAATAATCTCAATCTCATACTCTAATCTACCCAATCAAACATGCTCTGAGCGTCTTGATGCAGTCCTTTTGTCTCCTGGGCCAGTCAGTACAATCTTTTCACCTTCTCTTTAGGTCGACATGTTTGATTCCTTTACATTTGACTCAACATTAGAAAGACCAGCGACCAAGCGATTTATGATCTATCTTTTACTTGCATGCCACTTGTACATTAAATAGGCTGCTTAAAGAGATCTTCATTCAAATTTTAGATACTCGTTTGGAAATAGATTTTTTAAATAATTTTTTAATTAAAATATAATATAAAAAAATTAATATATTTGAGATGATTTTTTAATTTTTTACGAAAAGATATACAAAAAGTAAAGAAAAAAGAGAATTTTTGACTTTTTAGTATATGTTGTTAGTTTTTTGATTTTTTTATGAGAGATTTATCAATAAATCCCAAATGTTAAACTTATAAACCAATTGATCCTATTTTTTTTCTAATAAACCATTTAGTCTTTAGATATTTTGAGGGACCTTAATGCCCTCATTTAGATGTTATTAGATGCATGCTCTGTATGAGGGTGTGTCACGTGCCGCACACAATATGTCACGTGACACACATAATGGGTGTCACACATCAACAAAGTACACCAAGGCTCTTTATGAGGGTGTGTCACGTGACACACAATATGTCACGCGACACACACAATGGGTGTCACGTATCAACAAAGTACACTAAGGCTCTTTATGCTTTTTGCCTTGGAGTATCACGCTACACACACAATGGGTGTCACGCATCAACAAAGTACGCTAAGGCTCTTTATGCTTTTTGCCTTGGGGTGTCACGCGACACATATAATGGGTGTCACGCATCAACAAAGTACACTAAGGCTCTTTATGCTTTTTGCCTTTGAGTGTCACGCGACACACACAATACGTCACGCGACACACACCACAATGGGTGTCACACATCAACAAAGTACAATAAGGCTCTTTATGCTTTTTGCCTTGGAGTGTCACGCGACACACACAATATGTCACGTGACATACACCACAATGAGTGTCACACATCAACAAAGTATACTAAGGCTCTTTATACTTTTTGCCTTGGAGTGTCACGTAACATACACAATGAGTGTCACACATCAACAAAGTACACTAAGGCTCTTTATGCTTTTTGCCTTTGAATGATGTATGTCACGCGACACACACACGGAAGGGTATAATTGATCACTCAAGGTTACTAAACAAAGGAAATAGGATCAACTGGTAAGATATTTTCCCACTAATAGGACTAATCAGAACAATAGAAATAACCTTAGGACCAATCGGTAAAACTGTTTGTGAGATAGGATTTATTGGTAAATATTTTTGACTTTTAAACTAAAAAGTGATATTAACAAATGAGGCCTTAGTTTGATTAGAAGATTCCATGACCTGAAATTTTTTCCAAACATACAAGTTTTTTGAATTCTTTCCAAGTTCTTATGTACATATATATATACCAATGGGTTTCAACATTGCTGAAATCATACAATGAGCATAGGCATACATACATTTTATTTTATTTTATTTTTGTATATTACAGTATGTTAAGTTTACATCCTTTAATATTGATAGTTGTATTACATGTTTAGATCGAATAGAAATATAAAAAGTGCTTATTCGGATGACAATAATTAAATTGGAGAACAAAAGGAAGACAAATTGTTACGTCTTAGAAATATATGACCAGAACTATCCATTTCCACACCCAAATTATATACAGTGCTCAAATGACAAAAGCGGAAACTTAATGTCAACATGTTATATTCATAATATTCTTGTTAAGATTACAAGATAATATCACATACATTGATAAATTCAACGATTCTAAAACATAAATCTATGATATGTGAGTGATAAAGAGTTATATATAAACTATTATTGTTTTATGTTTTAGTGGCTACAAGTTTCCACGATTGTACTTCATAACAACACAAAAGGGTCTTTAAGTCTTAAGCCTAATACGCTAAGGCTCCGTTTGTTTTCAGAGGTAGATAGTGAGGGAATTGTTAGTGAGGAGATTAAGTAAAATTATGTTTGTTTTGATCATAGTTGTTAGTGTGGAGATTGTTAAATTATTTTTATATAAAATAAATATAAAATAATAAAACAGATAAAAAAAATACAAAAAATTAAACATTAATGTTTTAAAAAAAATGCCCAACATGTAAAAAAATTTTAAAAAATAAAAATAAAATAAAAACTTTTCAAATAAAATAAAATAAATGAAATAATGATTTTTACTTAACAAAAAATACAAAAAATTAAACATTAATGTTTTAAAAAAAATGTCCGACATGTAAAAAATAAAATAAAAATAAATAAAAATAAAATATTTCTAGTCTGCCGGACTATTTTTCTAATACCAAGTCCTACAGGCCTATCCTAATCTCCTCCCCAAGGGGATTCGTAGTCCGGAGGGGATTACGAATCCCCTCTCCATCTCTCAAAAACAAACATGATATTAGTGAGTTCCACCTCACTATGAATCTCAATCTCCTCCCTATAACCCAAAATAAACGGAGCCCAAAAGTCCTAGTCTTACACAAAATAGTCTTACACAAAATAATATACAAAACGAGTATTCAGCAGAAATCCCTTCGTTATTGAATTGGAAGCATTTCAAACAAACGTTTAGTTTTATTTGTTTTATTTATTTTAAAAACTGCAGTTTAGTCAGCTGTCAGCCGATAGGTTCAATTTTGGAATTAGGATCCCCTCCTTGCATTATTTTCTATTTGCAAGGTCATTGGGGCCTATTTTTAGGCCAAATTTTGATAATCCGAACCGTTCCTATTTTAGGATTTGTTCAGTATATCATACCTGTAAAAAATTAAGTTGATAAGATATCAGAAAGCATGTGTTCGGAAAAATCGAACAAAAAACTATTTTTTTAAAGAATTTAATAAACAGTTTTCCGAACACATACTTTCTGATATCCGATCAACTTGATTTTTTACAGGTATGATATACTGAATAAATCTTAAAATATGAACGGTTTAGATTATGAAAATTAGGCCTAAAAGTGGACCCGAAGACACTGCAAGTAAGAAATACAAGGAGGAAGTGCAATGAGGGGATATTGACTCTCAATTTTGAGTCTCAACAACAAAAGTGCCTAAAGTCCTATTTAAAAAATTTATTATTTTAATTATTTTTTTTGATTTTTACGAAAATTGTACAAATGTATATATATATATATATATATATTAGCTTTTTGACTAAAAACTAAAGTTTCCAAACGGGGCTAAATAATTAAACATGAGCATGCCACTGTGGAGTAATTCGTGTAGGTCCCAACTTTAACTCTCATGGAATATAAAAAATACTTGAACTTAATTAAATATGTGATTTATCAATTATTACATCCATAATTTATTTATAATACATTGTACTAAATGATAAGATTAATTAATTGAAAGTTTCTAAAACAAAGGTATAAAATCACAAAGATTTTTGGGTAAATTACAATTTGCACCCCTGCACTTTGTTCCAAATCTTACTTTGGTCCCTACATATGAAATCATGACAGTTAACCTCCTGCACTTTTGGTGAAATCCTACTTTAGTCCTTACATATGAAATCGTAACAGTTAACCCCCTGTACTTTTACTCAAATCCCATTTTAGTCGTTACACAAGTGTCAATGTCCCTTTTCTGTAACTTCATTTTTAAATCTTTACAAAAATCCAGTAATGTGACAAAAATGTGACCACGAAATGAGGGTAAGAGAGGAAAAAATCATCAATGTTTCCCACCCATACACTTTGTCATACGTGATAAACACATAAGAATTATATAATACAATATATACATATATATATATATATATATGTTCATATGGTAAAAAATGAGACGAAAATGTAAGAAAGTAAAACTTTTGAAATTTAAAATAAAAAAAATGCGACAAAGAAATCAAAAAGAAAAAAAAGATAGATAGACAGAAGACTGTGTTACCATGAAAAATAGAGTTTCCTGGTTCCAATTTATGCAAAACCCTAGTTCATTTTCTTAATTATTCATAATCTACGTTTTGTTTTAGCCTAATACAGTCATATTTTGATGTAAATTTTGAGATAAAGTGTGTATTGGTGAAAAATATAGATAATTTTCCTTTTTACCCTAATGTCGTAATCACATTTTTATCATACAATTAGATTTTGTTAAGGATTTAAACAATTGAGTAATATTAATGGGACATTGACACTTGTATAGGGACCAAAATGAGATTTAACCAAAAGTACAGGGGATTGATTGTCACAATTTCATGTGCAGTGACCAAAGTTGGATTTGACTAGAAGTGCAGGGGTTGGCTGTCATGATTTCATGTGTAAGGGCCAAAGTGATATTTGGTGCAAACTGCAGGGGTGCAAAGTGTAATTTACACTACAAGAAATTGCATTTTTCACAACGCAACAAAATATGTTGCTAAAAGGAAAAATTCGTCGGCAAAGAGTTTTGCTGACACACAAGGCTACGTTGGCAACCCGTAGGCAAAAGTGAGTCGGCAAAAGTTTTTGCCGACGAAATTATCATTGCGTTGGTAAAAGTAATGCCTTTAACGACGAACATAGTCGTCGATAAAAGTCTTCATCCATCGTTGGCTATTTACCTTGCGTCGGTAAAAGTCATTCAAATATGATGATTGTGTGGCACTTTTCGCGACACAAATTTACATGGGCAAAAAATATACTTTTAGCAACAAAATATGCGTCGGCAAAAGTAAACTTTTGGCAACACATTTACGTCGGTAAATGTTGCCATTTGCCTACGATTTGTTTGTCGATAAAGCTTCACTTTTGGCAACGACAAATAAGCATTGACAAAAAATACACTTTTAACAACACAATATGAGTGGGCAAAAGTAAACTTTTGGCAACACATTTACGTCGGTAAATATTGCCAATTGCCAACAATTTGTTTGTTGATAAAGGTTTACTTTTGGCAATGACAAATTAGCATTGGCAAAAAATACACTTCTAGCAACACAATATGAGTGGGTAAAAATAAACTTTTGGCAACATATTTACCAACAAAAATAATTAAAAATAATTTATATATTTTTATAAGATTTACAAATTTACAAGAGGCATCCCTCAGGCACTACTATTATAAACTAATAACATTGATATGAAATCACCTAAAGTTGATGTGCAAGCAAAAAAACACTACCGATACTGCTTTTAGAAGCAGTGTATAAAATCTAAAAGGGTAAACTCACTAAAATACCCAAATACATCCAAATTGCGAACCCACATTAGAAACAAAATATAACAAAATGAAAACATGAACCGAACAAAGACAGGCAAAACGGCACGAAAATCACCCACAACCTTATCCAGCAGACCAACATCTAATAGCAGCCGCCTCACAGCAACATTGCAGCAGCAGCAGCAGCAGCCGCCCAGCAAGCATCAACCAGAAAATGATGACAACAATGAAGTTATTTTCCCTATAAAAAAATAAAAATAAAAATAAAAAGCACAGCCAGAAAAGGTCCATTACCCAGTGTTCTCGTTTCCAGAAGAACACATCGAGAATCAAATCTCAACTAACCTTCATTGTTGCTTGCAAAGCTGCACGTATTGCATCTCTTTCAGCTTGCCTAACAATAACTGAAGTTCTTGTAGATTTTCTAACTATTCTCTCCACTTCTACGTCATCGGGTGCATCATGATGTTCAGGTACAGTAGACTGCTCAGCAGTTTCATCATCCTAGGGAGCCTTTCCAAGATTTGAAAGAACCTTCTTTTTCGTCTTCTTCTTTGGCAATTGCTTTCCAGGAAATATTAGTATCTTCTTTGTCCGCATTCTGTAACAGAAGTCAACATCTTAAAAGTTACCATACTAATTTAAAAACTCTAAACTTCCATGATCTTGGGGAAGTCAAACCTGTCATCTGCTTCATTTTCTACTTCTTCATCTGGTTCAGGTTCCTGATTCCAGTATAACATGTAATTGGACAATAAGTTCGTTCAAGTGGTCATGGATATTGAAGTTATTACTGCAGTAGTATGAAAGAGGTAGTGACATATTTTAAGTCTAAGAAATGCAGATAATAACAAGACCGTAAATACATACATCATCATCAAAGTCACCATCAAAAACATCCACAACCTCCCCTTCTTCGTAATTTTCATCATTTTCTTCCTGAGAAAGTAACATAGGAATGAATTGAATCCAGAAACACACAAGAGAACAACATACCATATAAATGCAACTGCTAGTCCTTCGGACTAAGTGGTAACTTAGGTGCTACAATAGAGTAGATGACAAGGTTCAAATCCCATTATCCATAAAAAATAATACTAATGAAATAAAAAGTAAATATTTAATTTAGAATGGTACATACTTATCATAATTTCATCAATTTTGATAATTGAAATAAATAAAAAAACGATCATACTCAATGCACAAGGCTCCTACTTAGGGTCTGGGAGAGGTAGTTAGTAAGCAGCATTCCCCACTTTTTTTTTGTGGAGAGATTGATAATAGAAATAGATGCATGTGGTCAATAAATAAGAAAAACTTGTATGTCAATAACTTGCAATGGCAAGGAGTTTATTTGTTTTGAGCACAAAACAAACAACAGACCATAGTGAGTGACAATGAAAAAATAACTAGATCAAATTAACAAATAGGAACTATGTGACTCCAAAATGTCCCAAATGATGACTTACTGAACAATTTCTATGTTTTTTGACATAAAAAAGACCTGAAGTTGATTTTTCCTCTCCCAGGAAGACTTTAAAATGGAAAAGATTAATTTTTAAACCAAAAAGAGCATGACCAAATTGTAACATCAAAGACCACTTCTACCCAATTTTAGATAGAGTACTCTAATAGGGGACTTATCATGCTCTTCATTACTCTGTCTCTATTTCACTTTCTGGGAACATTATTGGTGTTTCACATTAAGGTGAAAAAATGAATGGATGCACAAATATTGATCAAGAAACTACATGTGGACAAGAGAAACATCAATGTTAAAAGTCTGAGCAGTGAATACCTCTTTGAGAGCCTCCTGATTCCAGAATGTTTTATCCTCTTTATTCTCGTCATCAAGCAATTTGTTCATTCTAACAATGGCATCAATATAGTGTCAAAACCTTTCAATATCTCAAATAGAATTTCCATTATCCTTCTAGATAGAAAATCATAACAGAGTACTACTCTCCCCTCATACAGTTGATGCATATTAGACACAATCCTATAACAGCAGATCCAGATTCAGGCATACTCTCTCCTCATACAGTGATCAATAGACAAAATGTGAGATGTTGAAGCTGACATTTTGCTCTTAGCAGTAGGAAACAACTAGGAATAGAATCAAAAGCCCCATTCCTTAATCAGTTCAGGTCCATAATGCCTAGACAGATTGGTAGCCCAAGCAAATCCGCCCAACAAACATGACAACAGAAATCCCTTGCACCAAAACACCTCAACAGACCAGCAGAGAATAGATCTACTCCCTTGTTTCCATCAGCAGACGAGCAGCAATCCACAGTACTACTCTCCCCTCATACAGTTGATGCATATTAGACACAATCCTATAGCAGCAGATCTAGATTCAAGCATACTGTCTCCTCATACAGTGATCAGTAGACAAAATATTAGATGCTGAAGCTGACATTCTGCTCTTAGCAGCAGGAAACAACAAGGAATAGAATCAAAAGCCCCACTCCTCAAGCAGTTCAGGTCCATAGTGCCTAGACAGATTGGTAGCCCAAGCAAATCAGCCCAACAAACATGACAGCAGAAATCACTTAGCAGCAGAACCATCAGCAGAGCCACACTAAGTAGCCCCAGCATACCAGCAGTTAGCAACAGACCCCTGCAATACTTAGAAGCCCCAGCAACACTTTCCTTAATTCAGAATGCATACAGAGAACAAAACTCCCCTTACTACTTGAGCAACACCACAGGAGGACACTACAGCAAACAGCCTATCTATTTGCAACCTCCACTCTGCAAGCTGGAACAAACCCTTGGCAATCCCAAGCTGGAGCAAGACAACAATGAATATACCCACAGCAGAACAACCCTAACAAACAAACTAGAACAACCCCAGCAGCCAAAAACCCACTACTCAGCAGCAGTCACACAGGTCCATGACCACTGATGCAAAATCTAATTTGATTCATGTTAAAGATAAAATCATTAACTGAAAACTGGGCTAGATTATGTGATGACTTCGCCCATATAGCAACTCTAATCTTGATCAACTCAATGACTTCAACAAGGCTAGGATTTGAGTGCTTGAATTTACACTCGTTTCTGAGCTTCCAAATAGACCACAACACTGCTAGAGGAATACTTTTCCATAACGCTCTCTCTGATTTCCTAACTTTGGCTCCATCCCACCAGATAAGCACCTTTTCCACTGCATCCGGCAATGCCCCAACAAATCCCCACCACTTAAGCATAGCAGCCCAGATATGCCAGGAGAAATGACACAGCAGAAGGACATGGCGAGTAGATTCAGGCTCAGATTTGCAAAAGGTACATTTAATATCTGAGTTGCTACTCAAGACCCCAATTTTCTGTAGAAACTCAGGAGATTTTACTTTGTCCTTCCAAGCTAACCATCCAAAGAATTGAACTTTGTGTGGGATATACTTCACCCACACCAACCTGCAACCTCTAGCTGAGGAACCAAAGCTATCAGAGCAGAATTTATACACAGAGGATGTGGAATACACACCTGAGGATGCCGCTGCCCAACAAGGTACATCAGCACAGCCAGGTCTGAGGGAAGGGGCTGCTGCTAGAAGAATTCTCAATCTTGATGCATCCAACTCCTCTCACTCATACAAAGCCCTTCTAAACGGTATCACCCATTCTACTGAATTTCCTTTTAAATCAAAGTAATGCTTGACAGAACCTTCCTTAGATTGAGCAAAACTGAACAAACCAGAGAATTCTCTCTTGAGGCATAGCTTCCCACACCACTTATCATGCCAGAATTTGGTTCTAGATCCATCACCAACTTGAATCTGAAAGTTCTGCTCGAAAAACTCACCACATCAACTTGAAGTACACTTCCACCTCCCTGGCCTCGTTCCCTATCTGAAACAAGAAATCCGAGACCTAGAGATATGGTCTCTTGAAGAGAATCATCTCTTGAGTTGTTGAAGCTTCTCGTAGACCCATCAAAATTCATAGGAACACAAAAAGACTCTAATATTCATTTTTGAAATTTAGTACATCTGAATATTATGATAAAAACACTAATGTTCATTTTTGTGTGATAAATAAGGTCTGGATTCTTTTGATTTGATGTGAATAACAGGACACATATTCATAGACAAAATTAAAAAAAACAACACAAAAGCAAACATTCAACAAGAATAATGCAACATAATGAAAACAAGCCTCAAAATAAAAACTAATTTGTTGCTTCCCCTTCCAATTTTTTTTTTTTTTAATAGTAAAATCGTTTGTTATTTGTTTGTTTTGATTTATAAATATATATATATAGATCCTCTTTGCTGAATCAATATTCTCTTACATTGTATTACAATTTATTATATCTTTATATATACATAGATATATAAAGCTTTACACACGACTAAAAAATAAAATAAAATCACACTCGCTATCCTAAAACTCCCAATTTACCTTTCAACTTTTCTCTCACTAATTCAAACAATTCTCACTCAATACACTTCATATTATGCAAAAAAGTACACATACTGATAAATAAATATACATATATATATATATACACTCAAATTTTGATGAAAAAGAAACTGGATTTCTTGAGGGGTGAAGTGTTGGTTGACTAAAATAGAAACCAAATATACCCTAGAATTTAGAAATTCAAGAAAAGATCGCGAATTACAACATAAAACTGCTCATATAATTTTTCTATGGAAAGGGGCAAAAATAATTCTAATAAATTGAGTAATGTTAGTGATTCAAAAACAATATTAAAAATTTATGTCAATATCGTATAAATGTTTTAGTAATATATATATATATATAGAATTTCTAATATTTTTGCAGTAAATTAGACAGTGAAAAGTGGTCATTGTTGATGCCTTCATCTCAAGAACCACAATGTATTGCCACAACAATAGCCATCATTACCACCACCATTTAGGCACTACCCTAACCCAACACCACAAATGAACTTCAGTACTACAATATCACTTCTTCAAAGTAAACCACCTCACCCTACCTTTGGCAACTCATAATCATTTACAAACACTAAGATAACCACAACAGTCAACGAGATATGAAACCTTCAACCCCCTCTCACAATTACTGCCACTACAATTCTACCTGGCATAAAGATACCATTTTGGAACCAAGTTTTATACTTTTACGGGAATTGTAACTACGTTTTATACCATATGATAGGTTCCAATGAAATCCAAAAATTATATGAGATAATGAGCATCAAGAACAAAGAGTTTAACTCCATTTGCATGCTAAAAACGACCAAGAGCAACTACCATTCCCAAAGTACAGATGTCACATTGAATTCCATGACAGCAAGTAAAAGAGAACACACGTAATCAAACAGCAAAACTTCAACCTAATGGGAAAGCTCAAAAATCCACAATCAGAGTGCTGTGTAACATTTTTCAGATATGTTTAATTTTTCTCAACCAACACAGATCACAAAACAGAACAAAATTCAGTGTCGCCATTTAGAATTGAATTCAAATTCATTCAAGTTCACAGCAACAAGAAAAAAATTAACGACAATACATTTGTAACGAAACGAAAATGTAATACAAGAATATAGCTTTCGCCTTAATTCAACCAAAATAATTGCATTATCATGACAGGACGAAGACTGAAAAAAATTTCAAATTTTGGTTTTTTGTTTCTGTTACTATTTTCATCGAAAACAAACAACGGCGTCAATGAATTAAATCAATCACGAGTTTTCACAATGAAAATATAGTTCCAAAATACTTTTGTTTAAATTACTAACAATTTAATGCATTTTTACAAACATCATCAAAATTCAAAGAACATAATTAGATCTATAAATCTAATGCCAAAACAATATGACATTTTTTACACCCTACAAGCAAAAGTATGGCTCCAAAATATTACACTAATCAATGTAAAAAGCCCAATGCCTGAGAATATTCATCGATTATTTCATTGCTTGTCAACTGAAATATATAAAAAAACAAAATAAAATAAAATTTTAGCAGGCCTCATTTCAAATGTAAAAATACCAAATCTGTAAGAGCCAAGAAAGATTGGAATCAGAATTCTGAGAGAACCCTACACAGAGAAAAGAGGGGAAAAATCAGAGAGAAGAGGATTTTACAAGAGGGACGATTTCAGAGAGATAAAATAGGGTTTCAGGAGAGGGAGTGTTTCAAAAATAATCAATTGAGAGAGGAATACCTTCAGATTTTTTGATTGTGCTTCAAATTCTTTTCTCTTTCTTTGTTGGATTAGGGTTTTAGGTAGAGTGAAATTACCCACAGCCACTCCAATCACACCGCTAACTACACCGAATGCGAGAGTGAGAGCGAGAGCGAGAGAGAGCCGAAACAAGGGTTTTAGGAACAAGGAAGAGAAGAGAGATGAGATGAGAAGAGTGCCTTACCATCGAATTAGTCTTGCCGCCGAAAAGATGAGGAAGATCAATTGTGGCCAAATTTTTAGGGATGACGAGGGTCGTGAGTATTTGAATGCTGCGTGGAGTGGAGGGGTGTGAGGGGTTAAGGTGTGCGAGTTGTGTAGTGGTGTACTCATTCGTCTACTTCAATGTTGTAGGCCGTGGTGTTGGGTTCTTCATTTGCGGCGATGGTAATGTTGTTGGGTATTTGTTCGTTATGTTAATGGTTTTAGTTTGGGGGTGTAATCATTGACACGTTGTTCGCAATGTTGGCGGCGTGTAAACACATGTATCATTTTGTGATGTTTACACCCCACAAATAATTGATGTGCTCGATACGTGTTTGCAGAAAGTATAATGGTTGTTTTTTTTTTTTTTTTTTATAGTTTTTTAGGGAAAAAAATTAAACTAGTATATGAAAATAAAACTAAACATAAAACCACAATGAAAAGAATTTGAAAATAAAATCAAACATATTGAAATTGATAATCTAACCACATTCTTTAAAAAACTTTAAATTAACTCAAATTAGCCATCTCAACTTAAGATTATGTTTGGCCTTAATAGGTTCATTTTGTGATCTAATTCAATGATCACTTTGATTTTACAATTCAATAACTAAAATATTTAAAACTCTTTCAAAAGTTAAAATAAAAACACAAATTAATAAATCACCTGTATCACTAGTAAAACTTTTACCGACGAATAGTATTATCGTCGCTAAATGTTTAACTCTTTGCCCACGTCAACTTGTCGTCACCAAAAGTAAGCACACTAATAGCAACGCTCATTGTGTTGGTAAAAAATAAGCCTCGTAGCTAAAACTTTCGAAATTTTGGCGCCAACAAATTATTTTGGCGCTTAAAGAATGTTATGCTTTTTTAGCGACGATAGTAAATTGTGTCGGTAAAGGTTTACTTTTACCAACGAAATTCATCACTGTATCGCCAAAAATATACTTTTGGCTATGAAAAATGGACGTCGTCGCCAAAAGTTGTTGCCAAAAGTGCAATTTCTTGTAGTGTTAGCTAAGATTTTTTATTTATTTATTATAATTTATTGTTTGGAATTGACTTTTTGAGTAACTTTTTTATTCATTTTTTTTTTGTCTTTAGTGTAAAAATAAGTTTTTTTTCAACTAGATGAACCAAAAATTAAATAAAAGAAAATAATTGGAAAAAATTTCACTAAAGGCAAAAAACAATCATTTTTTTTTTTTTTGTCTTTAATGAATATTTTTTGAATTTTTTCAAAATATTTTTACTTTTAAAATTTGTTGGTTATTTTGACACTTTGAAAGTTAGATATGTAATTTAAGCGTGTTAGTAAAGATCCAAATATTCTTTACAAATAATAAATGTCAATTCATATCAAGCAATTGTGTTAAGGTTCTCTTAGCTGCAAAGAAGAGGACTTTATTGTGTTGTGTTGAAAAGATAAATCAAAGCTTGTAGTTTAAATTCGTAACATAATGGGAGAAAGAGATTGGGAAGAAAATTACAATTGATTAAGTAAATAAATGATCACAATATGTTACATTTAATAGGGGCAATTTCGAAACTTTAGACCGACCAAGTTTTGAAATTACAAGACTAATCTACTCCTATGAAAAGTAAGTGCAATGCATAAGAGTGCAAAGAAAGGTAGGACTCTTCATTATCTTTATGTATCCCATAGGGTACCCTTTGCTTGCATTTGCATTAGATGGTTTAAATGTAGTGCCAACAAAATCCTTGTGTACTAGATGGACCTCAAAAGAATTTTCACATAATTTTTAAAAAATATATCATTGAAATTTTTTTTTTTAAAAAAAATATATAAATTTTAGATGAATGTCAAACCATTTAGGAAAATAAATGGGTATGACGTTAAAATGTGCTGATGTAAATGTGAGATAGCTGTTTTTAACGGTCCACCATGTGAGACGGTAAATGAAGTTGGTGAAAACTTACATGTGCTATGGCATTTATGTAACAAGTTGAATCAAATTGAATTTTGCCTTTATTATTATTGTTGTGGTGTCGTGAACCATTCTATTTAAATTGGTGAAAATAAATTGAATTACTTCTTGATTTCGACTTCGTAAGGTTCGTTTGGCAAATTTTTTTTTTTTAGTTTTAGTTATAGTGATTCTTGGGTCCTGAGTAATAAATGAGATATAAATTCAATTTTTGGGTTTTATTTGATTAGCCCATACTTAATCATTTTGGTTCATATTTAATTATGTGAATGGTGGGAACCACCTTAAAGTCTTTTAAAATTTATTTATATTTTAATCTCAGTTGAAGATTTATTTTAAATTATTAAACTCCATTCATTTTGGACCCAATTGATTGAATCGTGACCCGTTAGTAACTATGTAATATTGTTGTGGTTTTATTATTATTATTTGATTACCATAAAAGAGTTGTGAATATTTATGGTGTGTACCATTAAACGAAATATATTTTGTGGTGAGAAAATATTATATTTACTTTTGTCATTAAAGATATTGAAATGTATTTTTAAATTGATACATATAGGTATATATATATATATATATGGTTAGATATTTGTTTAGTTAGATATTTGTTTAGAAAATATCTACAAAAAGTGACAAATTAGATTTTTGTCAAACTTTTGGGAGTTCTTGGAGATCTTGCCATGGGAAAGAAGAGAAAAGGGATTCCAAGTTAGTTTTTCTTGTGTTTGATCTAGTGTAAGTCATTTTTGACCCCTGGTGCTTTGGATCAAAACGTAGAGGGCGGAAAATGCGCCATTTGGCTCCCAAAAAAAATTAATTTCTGTTGCCGAAAAATTTGAAAGCTTCTTGGCTTGAGGTAGGGATTTTTTCTCCACTTCTTTATGCACTTTTACTTTATTATATAGAGCTTAGAGTTGTATATAATTTAATTAGAATTTTTGAAAAATTTGTGATTTATTTGCTTAAAATGAGAATTTTGAGAAAAATAAAGAGTTGATACCCAAATTGCAAAAGTGTAAACTTGGAATATGCTTGTAAGGTTATGAAAGAGCTATGTTTTAAATTTGAACAAAAACAGACTTCGACTCGATCGGTTTTGAAATTTTTACCGGTTTGCGACCAAAAGAGTAGTTTTAAAGAAAACAAAGGAATTACGTTTAACTTTTAGGGCTTTTGATCAAAATAAGATGTCATAGTTGAATAATGCTTGGAGAATGAGTTTGGAAAGAAAATGATGTTTTCTTGAGCATTAACGGTATTATTTTGCTTAATGTATATGTTGGAATAAAACCGACACGGTTAGAAATAGACCTTGAGAGGTTACTGGACGTGATTGTGATATGAAAAATAGTGTAGTTGTTCATAGTTGATGAGATGTGAAATAGATTGTATTTATCAAAATTTTTGAAATTTAATTGTTTAAATGTCTGTTTAGAAATATTTGTTTTGGGCTATCGGTAGAGGATAGCCATGATTGTTATAGAAAGGCATGAGACTTAGGTAAATCAAATCACATTTCTCATTTGTTGCATTGGATATTGCATTACATTCATTTCATTGGAAATCTATCTGTTTTTGAGAAATGTTTGTAAATGTATCTATTTGCGAAAAGATAAATACTTGGTGAATTTGGGTAGGGGGTGTAGAACCACGCGGTTAGGTGTTGAGCCTTCCAGTTTACTGGTAAAAATGATAGTGGTAGTGCATTAGGGCCTCCTTGCAGACACTCACCTAGAGATTCATAGAGCCTGTATTCATGTAACAAATATAGTTTAAAATGGAAATGGTTTTATATCTGTTGTTGCATCTCAGCATTGCATGCTTTATAAAAAGAGAGAGAAACTATTTTATCATGAGTATGGCATGAACATACTCCTCTTTAGTCTTGTCATAGTCCATATGTTGTGTAGTATATCTCTACTGGGCTGTGGCTCACCCTATAAGGGAAACCATTTCAGGTACATGTGATATGCCTCTACCAAGGCACTAACTTGGGAGGACTCGGAGCTGAGGCTCCATTTTTGTTTTATTGTTATTTGTTGAATGTAAGCCCAGGGCTGTGTGGACGCGCTCTCGAGGGCTTTATGCTTTTCCACAGTTCGGACTCAATATGTCACGGTTCTTAATCTGATCTCGCAATGTGCAATGCAAGACTAATAAATCACCAAAGAGTCCAAATCCGGCAAATCGTTTAGGAAAACAGATTTTTAAGAAAGAAGTACCAAACATGGACTGCTTTGCCAGATACAGAGTCGCCACCTAAATATTTATTTTGGGGGAATTTAGGAAACCCTGACTCGTTGCCTAAGGCCACGTGTTCGTCATCAACAAAGTTGTCTCGGCTCAAGAACTTGGGTACGATTGGGAAAGGTCAGCTATGAGCACCCCTGCTCGCCCGATCCGAAGATCGGCCTGTACTAAGCATGATATTTTGTTTTGAAAACATATGTGTTCTTAATCCAGTTAATTAGCTAGAATTTACTATGTGATGCGCACAACACACAAGTATAGACTAGATCGCCTAGTTTGGAACAAAGCATCGCATATCCGTCTTGTTTTGAAAAACGGTTTGAAATTTGCTACTCGCAAGTAGGCTAAAACACGGGTTTCGACGAATTATTCCAATTCAAGCAATCCAACCTTCACCCACAGGCATTTAGGTAATTATATCACAGAAGCACATAGCCTCATGGTAAGCATACTATCATGTTAACACTCACATACATGCAAGATACTAAAGCATAAATACTCACAGTGTACCCCGAGCCAAAACAAGGGATATATTAGTAATCAAATGTATGATCCAAATCCATGTTAAGATGGCTAATGCATCGCAGGCAAAATGCAACTAAAATAGGCTCGGTTAATCTAAAGTGGCATATGAGATGCGACAATTCGATACACGTATTCAAGTTTGGAATTGAAATACTATGCAGTTAGTATGATGCGCCGAGCCCGATGCATGCAGTACAGATGAATGATGCAAACAGGCATAGCATAAGGAT